ACTGTGCTCTAGGAAAAGTGGATATTCAAAAAGGCTTTTGAACATGCTGAACAGCTTTTGTCCTTGCTCTGCTTTTTCCTATTGCAAAATTAAACAACACTTCAGTTATGTCACTAAAGTCATACAATTGGTGAAAATTCCTAAAGGAAAGCTTGCATGCCCTAAACCAAATGGGATCTGCTGTTAGAGGCTGGGCGAGGAATAGTTTTCCAGCCTTACAAATAAAAAGCCAACAGCATTTTGACTCATTGTTTTAATTTCTGCCCCAAGACAGGAAGACTTTTCCAAGCTCCTCGTAAGCACCTGGAGCAAGAGAACCCAGTCTGGCAAACAGGTCAGTCACTGGGGCACTCTGGGGATGTGGGACACTCAGGTCCTCTTTGCTCCCACTCTGATGTACTCCCACAATCCTGCTGAGTGTCCTGCTAACACAGGGCAGGATTAATCTCTGCCTCTCAGTCACTAGGAATTGCTCCACTTTGCAGTAAGTAATTACATGTTACTGGGAGAGAAAGATTGTCTCCATCCTTCAGATGCAGTAGGATGTTAGAAAACCTCAGGTAAGTCCATGCTCCAGTAAATACATGATTATTAAACAGCTTCAACATAAGAGGCCTGAGATATAGCTACCCAGAATAGCCAGCTGCTTCACCGTGAAAATGCTTATGTGAGATACAAAGCATCATGAGTCAAGCCTGTAGCTGAGCTGTGATGCTTTGAACCTTGATGTCCCAAATGCATGCTCTCCCAGACCACTGGAGAGGGAGGGAATCACTCAGTCTTCCTCACAACTAGAGCTGCTACCCTGCACCTGAGACAGCTTTTGTGGGATGAATTAGGCAGAGATGAGTTCCATAAAAGCTGTTTCTGTCCATGAAGAGGTCTGGTTCAGCATTCCCCCTCTCTGCTCCCAAAACTACAGTCCTAACACCACAGGACACTTGAGCCAGAGACTGGCTATCATGAGAATTCGTCATAGTGCTGATACTGGCCATCTCTGAAGGTCTTGGGCTTGGGAGACTAGAGTGATACCAGAAGTGTGGATAGGCTCTGAGGGTCTGAGAACAACCTCATGGTCTGTGCATTTTGACTGTGTTTGATTGTTTTGTTGTTACAGGAGAGGAGCAGGCTGTCTGCAAATGTGTTCATAAAGCATGCCTGGATGTAGTAAGTGTGAGCTGGAGCTGACAAATGTTAAATGAAATCTAAGTGATGATTACCTGAGTTTTAGAAATTGCTTTGACACACTGGATGCACATTTACTGAGCAGTCTGGCTGGCAACTGAGCACAGCTTCCAGCCTTGGTGTATATATACAGTGAATATATGAGTTCCCTGAATCCTTGTTTAGCCTAGCAGCTCCACCTACCCTGTAGACTGAAATTCTCTCTCATTCATTCATTAAGTATGCCCAGCAAAAGCACCTCCTGAGCCATCTCCTCTGCCTTTTCTTCCAGTTCTAAGTACAGAGGTTCAAAAGATCTGCACGTAGACACACAATATAAGTCCATTCACCCTGTCTGCAAGAGCAGATACTGGTTGGATGTGCATGTAGGCAGTGGCACAGATAATGTTAGGAATTCCCTCCTGACTTCCAACCATCGGCTACATATTTTGAATTGGAAAGTACCTCCAGTAAATGGTATTTTGTAGCAAGCAGTCTCTACTGGAGAGAACCCTGCTAAATCTGGGGAGTCCTGTCACATCCTCACTGATGTAGGAACAGTGAGGATGTAAGATAACCCTGACTTTGTAGTGCAGATCCTTCCCTCAGAGATCTTCATAGATGTGATCATTCCACAAACATTACCTACCTGCTACAGATCCCAGCCTTCCACACACTTTATAAATATCCAAAGTTCCGGGGAAATCAATGGCCTTACATATCTGTGCAAAATAAACAGCATTTTCTCCTTAAAAATTACAACATTCAGTCACCTCCAGAACCTGCTGCATTCAGCCAGTATGCTTGAAGATTGCAGAATCAGAATCTAGGTCGGAATATAGGAGTGATTTAGGTCAGAAGAGACCTCTGGAGGTCACCTAGTCTAACCCCAGTTAAAGAAGGGCCAACTCCAAAGTTAGATCACAACGTTAGGTCACTCACAGTTCTGTCCAGTTGAATTTGAACATCACCAAGGATGGATATTTCACATTGTCTTTAGACCCATTTCAGTGTTTGACCACTCTCTAGGTGAATATTTATCTCCTAATTTCTAATTGGGATATCTGATGTTGTGTTTTGCATTCATTGCATGTCATAGAAGCATAGAATGGTTTGGGTTGGAAAAGACCTTAAAATCATCAAGTTCCAAATCCCCCTGACGTGGAGAGACACCTTCCATTAGACTGGGTTGCTCAAAGCCCTGTCCAACCTGGCCTTGAACACTGCCAGGGATGGGGCAGCAACAGCTTCTGTGGGTAACCTGTGCCAGTGCCTCACCACCCTCACAAGGAAAGAGCTTCTTCCTAGTACCTAATCTAAATGTACCCTCTGTCAGTTTAAAGCTATTACACGTTGTCCTGTCGCTGTACACCTCTAAGAAAAGTTTGCCTCCACACTCTCTACACCCTCCCCTGAGGTGGCTGGGGAGAGCAGTGAGATTTTCCCCTTAACCTTCTTCTTGTAAGATTGATAAACTTAGTTCTCCCTCCCTTTATACATCATACACCAGTCCACTTCTTGATGGACTCACCATCTTGATGACCTTCCACTGGAATTCCCCCAGTATGTCAGTGTCTTCTACTGAGAAACCCCAAACTGGACGTAAAATTCCAAGGCTTGTTGGATAAAAGGAAATAGTTACATCCCTCAGCTTGAGGGCAGCAGTCCTGCTTATATAGGCCAGGATGTTATAGAATGTGTAATGGCACATTGCAAACTGCAAATTCTTGCCCAAGAGGCCACCCAAGTCCTCTTCTGCAAAATGCTGTTGTCCCAGCCAGTCCCCAGCCTACGTATTGTATATAGGGTTCTTCTGTCCCAGGTGCAGACGTTTGCATTTCCATATATGCCATATATATATATATATATGTATTAGTCTACATTTTCTATTTCAAATTAATAACCAACCCATTCAACTCCAGAATCTGTTAAAAAATATATATATTTTTAAAGTCCAGTAAGTAAAATAATGAAATTATCAATAAGTTTTCATTACAACATAAACTAGTTTTACTTCTTCAGATTTAATACATTTTATCTCAATTTCCCTTTAAATCTAATTTCTGTCTATTTGTTCCTGAAGCAAAAAATAATAATCTCTTTTCAGGAGCACATATTCCATAATTTGTGGCTGATTCTGTAATTCTGGCCTTCATAGGCTTTTCTGGGAAGGGCCCACGCAACAAAAAGCTCTCAGTTCTAGCAGTTGATAAGTGTTTTGATCAACTGAATGACAGTCAAGGGTGTTTGGCACCTTGCAAACTAGGAATTGTAAATCAGAAGGCTTTATGAAAGCCTACAAACTTCATTTTGGCCTTTGAGTGATAAGTAAAAAACCCTAACCATTCCAAAATTGTCAGTATTCATGTTCATAAAAGATAAAATAATCATCTCTCCCCCAAAAATATGGCAGTATCTTTCCAGAATCATGTTACAGTCTCTAAGGCTACATCTGTTCTAGTAATTACAATAGGCCAGGTCCTGTTCTCTGTCTCTGAGGATGAATAGCACAGCACAGCATGAGTCCATACAGGGAAATTCCCACCCCACCAAAACAAGGTCCTGAAGCTGTTCTGGATCTACTGCCTTGTGTTTCACTTAATAACAGAGAGAAACGAGTAGCTAAACTAGAAAACATCTTGTTTCTTTAGCCCTTGTTATTGTTACTTCGCTGTTTTTCATTAAAAAGCCCAGATTCAGAAGAGACATCAAGTGGTTTTACCCTCTGTATACCACGAGCACAGTGTGCATCAGGTACTCCCCAGACATCTCCTTCATTTGAGTCTACTCCCCCAACTCTCTCAAAGTGCAGTTCACCAGCGTTATAGTCATTGATTACTAACATTGATGCCTTTCTTTCCGTCTCCCCCCGGGAGATGCAGACTGTGAGACTCATGTTAGTGCCTGCCGGGTTCTCACATCATGGGTCAGCTCCGATCCAAAAGCTCTCGGGACCCGTTATCCCAGCACCACCTGGAGAAGCTGGGTGCCAGCACCGGCACATCTCTGCCGGCACACCGTCAGAGGCTTTAAGGCTAACCCTGGCTGTATGGAGCTGGTGCCCAGGGAAACCTGCTCGGTGGGTTTAAATCCTGCCTTCTGCTAGGAGGCCGAGAATTGCACTTCTCATCACAAGCATAGTGATAAAACCCAAGTGACTTGCTCAAACGTTTCATTAGCCGTTAATGTCGTTAATTTAACAATTAGTAACAACAGCCAACAGATAGATTATTTCTAATAAAAGCCCCGCCAATTGCTAACAAGTCATGAAATGCCGGAGCAGAAGTTCTCAAACAAATGATCCCTTGCCACATCCTCCCTGCACAGAGTAACTGCGATTACTGACGGCTTAGCTGGGCACAGACTCCAGCCGACATGGGAGCTACACAATTCCCGTGTCACCTCCCTAACACATTTCCCGAAGAGCCCCGCTACAATTTCGCAGGGATCCTAACTTTCCGCGCCTGACACGGAATACTGCCCATGGAGGGAAGCCACCCGGGGGAGCAGCGGCTCAGACAAAGCCGAGGCTGCGCCTCGCACGGTGCGGGCAGTGGCTGCCGGTTCTGCTTCTCCCCGCGCTGGCTCTAAGGGACGCTCCGCGCACTGACATGACTAAGCACGACCCGCACCGAGAGGCTGCTCGCCCAGCACCCGCGCACGGCGGGGGGACTCACCTGCCCGACTCCTCCGCAGGGCCAGGGCCAGCCGCTCCTCCGCGCGGGCTCCGTCGCCGCCAGCGCCGCCCCGCGCCGCCCCGGAGCCGCGCACCGAGCCGCGCCCGCGGAGCCGCCGCCTCCCGCCGCCGGGACCGGCGCGCCGGGGCGGGCCGGGGGTGCTGTCAGCCGGCGGCTGACGCAGGGCGCTTCCTCCCGGGGATGAAGACCCCTGCGGCGGGCAACCACCAGCCGCCGCGCCCGGCGCCGCTCGGGGCAGACGGGGACCCTCCGCGCCCGCGGTAGGGTGTCCCTCCCCTTTTCCTTCCCTTCCGCGCCCCGGAGCCCCCAGCATGGAGCGCCCTCTCAACCTCAGCTGCTTTGCCGATACGACCCCGGACACCGGCAACCGGAGCGGGAACTCCGCCGGTCCGGACGGGGACCGGGCGCACCTCTCTGTATTCAGCGTGTTGGTCCTCACCCTGTTGGCCATGCTGGTGGTGGCCACGTTCCTCTGGAACGGGCTGGTCCTGGCCACCATCCTCCGGGTGCGCACTTTCCACCGGGTGCCCCACAACCTGGTGGCCTCCATGGCCATCTCCGACGTGATGGTGGCAGCCCTGGTCATGCCCCTCAGCTTGGTGCATGAGTTGTCGGGGCGGCGGTGGCGGCTGGGCCGGTTGCTCTGCCAGGTGTGGATCTCCTTCGACGTGCTGTGCTGCACCGCCAGCATCTGGAATGTCACAGCCATCGCCCTTGACCGCTACTGGTCCATCACTCGCCATCTAGAGTACACGCTCCGCGTCCGGCGCCGCATCTCCAATATCATGATTGCCCTCACCTGGGCACTTTCTGCCTTCATCTCCTTGGCCCCACTGCTCTTTGGCTGGGGAGAGACTTACTCGGAGAACAATGAGGAGTGCCAGGTCAGCCAGGAGCCTTCTTACACCATTTTCTCCACCTTTGGCGCCTTCTACCTGCCCCTCTGTGTAGTGCTTTTTGTGTACTGGAAGATCTACAAGGCTGCCAAGTTTCGAATCGGGTCTCGGAAGAACAACTCTATCACCCCCATTACACGAGAAGGCCTGGAGGTAGGTCAGCTTGGTTGCTTTTTGCTCTAGTCAACTCCTGGTATCAGACAAGCCCTTGCAGTGGAGGGGGAAACTTAGTGCTAAAGTGTGCAAGTGAACAGCATCCCATCAAAGCCCTGTGAATCCTGGAGGCTTTAAAGGGAAAGCTGACTGCAAAGCTTGCAAGCCCAGTTTTCTGACTCCTTCCAAGTCCCCAGCAAGGTGTAGCTAAAGCAACTTTGGGCAGATTGTGAGCCTGAGCTCCACGTGGGTGTGCAGTGACTCACAGCCGTCCCTCTGTGGAATGCTGAATCAGTGCTCGGGAGCAGGAGTGAGGGGTCAGCCTTCCTCCCATGGGGAGCCATGTGGGGGTGTCAGTGCTGGGATCCTGTCTCCACTAGGGACAATCCCCTGGCAAGCATCTGTGGCTGTGGGGAGGCTCTGAATTTACCCGTGCAGAACGTCCTTGTACATCCTTCCTAATCGTGGCTGCATCATGTCAGTTCATCTCAAGCACGGTGACTGTGCACTGCAAAGACTTCTTGGGGAGAAGGAGGAAATGTACGCTCATCTTCTTGCCTTTCCTCCCAAGGACTCTTAATGGGTTCAGAGAAAGCAAGGAGACTTGTGCATGGCATGTGGGCGTGTGCCTGTTGTACTGATCAGATTGTAGATGGGGAAATTATCTTATTGCAATGCCATGTGAGCAGTTTTATGTGCCCATACCTCACTAGGCTCTTCAGTCTAGCCTCACCTAAAAATAGCCTCCATTACCCAGAAGAGGGTCATACAGCCACTCTCCCCTCAATTGGAGCATGACGTAGATAGCCTGTGTTTCCCAGTGAGCTCTGGTCATCACCTGCGTCGCTTGGTTGTGTACCTGCTGTGGGGGATCAGCTAACTGAAGCACATATGGTGCAACTTGTGTTTGTGTTTGGCAGGTAAAAGAAGCTGCCCAGCAGCCGCAGATGGTCTTCACTGTCCGTCATGCCACTGTTACGTTCCAGACGGAGGGAGACACGTGGAGAGAGCAGAAGGAAAAGAAAGCTGCCCTCATGGTGGGCATCCTTATTGGGGTCTTTGTGCTCTGCTGGATCCCCTTCTTCATCACGGAGCTCATCAACCCCCTCTGCTCATGTGACATCCCACCCATTTGGAAGAGTATTTTTCTATGGCTAGGCTATTCAAATTCCTTTTTTAATCCACTCATCTATACTGCTTTCAACAAAAACTACAACAATGCCTTCAGGAACCTATTCTTTAGGCAGCACTGAGCAGAAAAAGCTTTCCTGCTGTCCCAGGAAGATCATTTCAACTCTCAATGAATCCTATCAAATTCTTGAGGAAGATCAAAGCCACAGGTACTGAGGTGAATCCCCATGGGTCATACGTCCCAGCAACAGTCCTGGTTCCTACGCAGACTCTCCATCCCCCTGCTAAGTCAGCTGCTATTTTAACTGCAAACAGCATGTAGAGTTTCTCTGGCCAGCAGCATGGCATTCTCCCTCCAGTGCCCTTTCCTAATGACGTTCTGTTTGGTGACAGTAACCCTGCAGAGGAGTCTGCTGGCAAGGAGTCATATTTGAAACTGATTTGGCTGCTGCCGGTCTCTCACAGCATTAACAACTTTGTCCCATGTGCAAAGCTGGGACCCTTTAATGTCAAGAGATTTTGTGATTATCTATAAAACTAGGTATTTTATGGGTTGGATGAAAAGACTGTCTTTCACTTTTAGAGATTGTTAAGTGTTTGTTTGGGGAAATAAAACCCTCAGTAATGGTTAAGAGCAGACTCTAAGTACAAAGCCTTTTCTCACATGCTATATCAACAGCGAATTGTGCTATTTGCTATTGGTATTCTGTGTAGCAAGTTGGGGTCTTTTAAATTATTTATTGTGGAAGCTTAATGCATGGTGTACCCTGGAATGAGAGAGAATGCATGGGAAATCCACCTCTCGTTCTCTGACTGCTACGTGTGAGCATCTGCCTCAGACCTTTACTTTCAGAAATACCAGCCATAAATGTTAATCTTTGTGTCTGTTGCTTCCCATTTTAAACCATAAATGTATTTTGAGCAGCTTTGGGGCAAGTTTCCGGTAATTGCAGGGGATTCAGGGAGTGTATTTCCAATTGCCTGTCAATGAGGAGCTGTGTTTTACTATTTCTGAGTGCAATTCAGGTCTTCTTGAAACCAAAGGCTCCAGTCCTGTGTGGTCATTATTGCTCTGTTGCCTTCCTGCCTTTCCATGTTGCCAACATAATTATAGTAGTTGCCATTTCACTCTTAGAATTAGAATTATGCACTCTATGCTGCACTGCTAGAAGACTGACAGGCCTTCAGATAAAGAAAAGCATTAGTTTTAGCTGTGGGTTGTATGGGGCAGCCGCTGAAATCAGACCAGAATTGAAATGGTGGAGAAAAACATGAGACAGGAATCAGAATGACACGTTTTCGTGTCAGATATCTTAAGAAGAAGAGATAAGAGAGAAAAATGTCAATAAATCATGGGAAAAACTCCCTGGGGTGGGTAGGATTAGTTCCTAACCTTAGAAGATTGCGAGACATCAGATGTTAAAATTGTCAGCAGTCCTTTAAACCAGTCAAAAGTCCTGGTAGAGTTGGTAGTGAAAACCCTTTTTCTTTTCATATCTCAGGACAGGTGAAAATGGAAGCAGATCTCAAGGTGCTATCAAGTGTTGAGGCTCTTTCAGGAGCAGTTAGACAAACATTCATCAGGACTGACATAGATGTAGCTGATCCTGCCTTGTGGCAAGAGGAGAAATAGGGTGGCCCCTGAGATCTTTTTCAACACTATTTGATAAAAGTCTGTTTGAAATATTGGGTAAAATCCTGCCCTCAATGAAAGCAATGGACAAATTCTCAGTGATTTCAAATAAGTCAGAATTTTATCTAGCATGTCTTGTCTTGTCAAAGTATAGTTTTAATGTTAATTCAAAGAGAAGGGTGGGATAGGAGCAATCTTCAAACTCCCCTGAAAGAGTCTCTGATCTGCACTAACCGTGGACCAATTGGGAGAGATTTCTTTGTTACATAATTTAAAGCCTTATTAGTGACATCTCTGATGTACCAAAAATTGTAATAAACTCTTGAGAAGCTTTTTTTTTTTTTTTACTGGGGATATAAAGGTTTGCTTTCTGTGAAGAGTCCATTGCCAATACAGAGTTGTTCTTTTCAGGAACTTACCACTTGTCTTGTGTCAAGGGTTGTTTAGACAAAAAAGAGTTGAGAAAAATGCTTCCTTGTCCAAGCCAGACCCTGAGCTAAGCTTGGTGGTGTCTGAAAGTAGGACACTACTTGTTAAGCCATCACAGCAACACTAATACTAAAGCATGGATTAACTGTGAAGCTGGACTTTAGCTCACCATTTTCACTCATAGCATCATGGCTATACAACCCTGTTTCAGACTCAGCTGTGTTCATCCCCATTTTTATTTGCTCTTTGTGAGTACTGCAGATTTTCTATCTGTGTTGTGTGGGATCCTCACATAGGCTGTGGAATCAACTGCAAACTCAAATCAGTGTCCTGTGTAAGGAGACAAAAATTAAACTGAAATTGATGGGTAAAATCCCCACTTCTGCAGCAGCTCAGTGCTGGGATGGAGCTCTCTTTCGTTACACCCTGTGTTTCTTCATGCTATGCCTTAAACAGTGAAAGGAAGACAAAAGACAATTTTAAAATAACACTGGGAAATTCTAACATGTCTGTAGTCATGGATAATCCATCATCCTGGTGTAAATTACATCCACGTTTATTTGACAGTCCGCACCCCATACAATCCATATTGATCTTGTGCAAATAACAGCTTCCAGTTGGTCATAAATTTTGGGTTTCTTTCTTTGTTTTTCAATTTTGACATTATCAGCAGCTATTATACAGGCCAATTCCTACAACTCTTACTTGAGACTTAAGACCATTGGCTTTTCTTCTAAACACCATTCCTGCAATGTAATATGACCGTGCAGGGAAAATATTAGTATTCTGGATATTGTGCAAAAGAGTGGTACTGAAATATGCCATGATGGTCCGAGCATAGTGAAGGGGCACAAATAAACCTTGACTTCTGATCCTGGCTCCGAGGCTTTTTACAAACCTCTCAGTATTCAAACACAGATGCTAAGTGGGCTCCCAGAGACCCAAATCATGTTTGAAGATGTACACAGGCCCAGCTTCAAAGGATGTATCTTGTACCTTCTTGTTCCCGTTTATAAAACAGAATCAGTGGTGTGAAGAGATCTGCCTCACCGAGGCTTTGTGAGGATTAATTAGTAAACGTTTATCATGTACCAGGAAGGTGGAACACTCCGGTTTGAATGCCAAGCAGCATTATAAATTGGACTTCGATTTAATTCCTCAGAAGAACATTATTGCCCATTATTATTGAGTTGCCTATGCAATTTAATGGCTATGTAATACTTCCAGAAGAGACTCAACTAACCTTCTTCCACTTGCAATTAATTTATTTTACTCTCAATGCCCTGACAGTTCAATGAACATCTGTATGGGAGCTCAACAGCTAGGGCAATGACGGCACATTCTGAATGCTGTCTGCTGAATGTCTCCTTGCAGTGCTGAAAGCATATCGTCAAGGTTCAAGGAGCACCAGCTCTCCAGGCAGTCTGCTCCTGTGTTTCCTTTATTTTTTAGGGAGAAGAAAAGGTCACAAAAGAATGCCCTTGGATTAGATGACAGGTTGGCAGACCACCTTCCTCTTCCCTCTACATCCTGTTGACCTTTCTTCTCAAAGCAGGACTCCAGGACAAGTACCGGTCCTGCACAGACAAGGCCATCCCCTGTTGTTAATATTCCTGGGCATTTCCTAAAAATCAGTGCAGTTGGCTTTAACCTGGCAGCTGCAGCAGGAAGTGGGAGTTTCCTGCAAGTAAAGTTGCAGGCAGTTAAAGACATTTCACCTGACAAAGGTAATTAATGACTGCTAGCTCCAGCAGTTGCTGCACTGAGCTACGACTGACAAAGTGTCAAAGTGAGTATTGCAATGCAGTAATTTGAGCTGATTTGTTTGCGAAGGGCTTGTCGCCGTTTCACTCTTGGATCCCTCATTTTACCTGCGTCGGTTCAGCAGCAAACTGGGACACAGGCATCATTAATGCTCCATGTGGGAACAGTGGGGTAAAACATGCATGGCAAAATCTGCATCCCCACTGCGACACATGCTGGCTGAACATCACAAAACTGCCAGCCTGTTCATCAAATTGAAGAGGTGGCCAAAGAGATCTTTAAATCACCATTATTTTCAGTAACACTGAAGTACTGAGGAAGTAGCAGAAAACTGGAAGAGAGCTGAAGTTGTGCCAGTATTTTTAAAGGGCGAATTTGGAGAGCCAAATACTCATAAGGCTAATACTGCTACTGATTTACAGCTTGAAATTGATCCTTGGCAAAAATGTGGAACAGCTGATAAAGGACTCAATGAATAAAAAATTACAGGAAATAAATATAAGTAAAATAAATCACATTGATGTCTTTCTTTGATTGCAGCACATGGTTCATTGCTGATGGCGATATGAAGTATTCACTCGTCACTAATGAATCTGACTTGACAACACTCAACAGTTCCATGAAAAAGTGAGGAAAAAACCAATATGAGGTTCAAACTGTCCAATATTTGCTAATGACTCATGGGCCGGAAGAGGTATAAATACAGCAAATGCAGGCTCTTGTACAGAGAAATAAGGATGCAAACTGGCTGGGGGTATTTTATCCCAGTGTGAGGGAAAGGTATGCACCTAGAAGCAGTGAGATAGGACCCTTGTTGCAGGCGGGGAGGCATGGCTGTGTCAGGGTGCCTCAGGAGCCAAACACAAAGGACTGTTCAGCATTCTGGGGACAAACAGACTTATTTCTTACCTGTGCACAGGCTGTGTCCAGCTATGGATTTTATTCTGGTCACTGGAGGAGAAGCTACGATTTCAGTTTGTTACATTTTCACTGTTCCCTGCTCCCCACCACTGCCAGGCAGTCAGCCCCAGCATTGCAGTTCTCTCAGCCATGTAATTTCCCATGCTGGCCAAGTCAAATACTTTCCCTAATCATCCTAAAAAGGAAGACAGATGGGCTCTTTCTCTGGGTCCCCCCGTGCATTGCTGTTGTTCTTCTGTATAACTAACAGTTTTAGTGGTGGGAACAACAGCTTCTGCAATGCCAAACCCCTGCTGCCAGCTCAGTGGACGGGACCAAGCAGGGCTCGATGCGGCCCTAGGGGTTGGTAGATGGAGCAGGCACTGCCCAAACACTGCTGTCTGGCAGTGACTAGGATGAGGAAAGAGAAAACAGGAGGATATGTGCTTGCCTCAGATTTTTGCTGGAGCTGTTCCTGACAAACCAGTCCCTAATGCTGCTCCTAGCTGCCCTCCCTGCTTCTGGTGAGACCAAACCTGACCAGGCTACCCCTGACGTGGGTCCGTTCATCTCTGCAGAAATGCAGAAGGGAGGGGAAGAGATTTCCCTAACCCACTGCATCCCTAATCACAGGAAAAAATTCCCAACCCTGACTGCCTCTATGGGAGAGGACGCATTTCCTGCATGGCGTAGGTATGCACCCTGCCCGGTTCAGTGCCCTTCCCGCTGCTAGCTGCACAGGGTGGAAATCTCTGCATCATTCAAAAATACCTGCTGCTGGCCAGGTGCCTAAGTTTGTTCAAGCATTAGCTTGAAATGTTGCCTTTTTCGTCAGTTCAGGGCTGCAACCTGAGGTCAGTGTTTCTTCCTTGTGCCTTTTACCGAGTCGCAGTGATGCACAGGTTACACACAGGTCCCACCACCTTTGTCTGCTGATACAAAGGAGGGCAACCTTTCAAAACTGGCATCTTCACTTGTTGAAAAGAACCCCTTGTTTCTGGGTTCAAGCTGCCAAACCAACCACTGAGGTGCCACAAAACCCCAGTGTCTGCTTTTTCTTACCTGAGCTACCATGATTTAATGTTTGAATTACCTTGCTCTTCACAAGACACTTGGCTGGGCAGCCCCAAAGCTTAAACCATGCCTGGTCTGGCTCATTTTGCTACGATCCATCACATATCCCACCTTTCTACCGTTCTCCTGGGGTGCCATGTTGGAGCTCTGGATATTAGAAAGTCATTCATACAATGGTCAGGCTGCTGCCTGTGCAACACCTCCCTGGTCTGGCACAGCTGGGTCAAACAAGGCTGTTTCCAAAACAAAAGCTGCTGTAGCACATAGACCATGGTGAAAATTACTGTGATCACCTTGCAGCCCTCTTGTCTAGATCTGCTAACAGCCTGATATAAGGCCCCACAGGCTACCTGTGCTCCTGTCAGGCAGACTTTACAGGGTCACGTAGTCGCGCAGTTTAAACGGAGATCTGCTTTCAAGGAGGGGGTAGAAATAACTTTGATGCAATGCCAAACCCAGCTCTTTCAGTGGGCACCGGAGCATATGGAGCCTCTCGCACAATTGCCTGGGAGCTGCAGGTCTGTGATGCCTTTTCTCTGCTCAACTGTTCACCTGGTGCCAGCGTTTCCAGGTGCGTTAACAGAGGATGCTCCTGTGCACGTCTTGGACCTTCCACCCACACATCATGGTGCCTGGGTGAATATTAAACAGACAGGAGGAGCGCAGCAGATGCAAAGTGCAAGTACACTTACTGGCACAAGGGGCTACTCACTATCTGGAATTTGAATGGGAAAAGAAACTGCAAAGCTGTGGAATTAAGTAATTAAGCTTTCCAAGGCTTCTTAAAAGGAGGCAGGTAGATGCCAAGGCAAGATAATACAGCACCCAGCTACGCTCCTGTGCTTCCCGCAGTTTTGTAGCACAGATCTCAGCCTTACCTGGGATTTCAGAGCCCATTACCCTGACTAAAGCCCTAGGGCTACTTTATAAGCTGTTAATAGTTGCCAACCAAAATGAGTATCAGGGCTGTTTCTTATTAAAATGAGCATTTAAGCCACCTGGAGAAGACTGTAAGTAGCATAAACCCTTTAAATTCTTTCTGAAACCCCAGAAGCTGGCAATGTTTGCGTACAGGACACAGCAAATAAGTTCTAAAGGAAATCTGTTTGACAGCAAATCTGCTGTTGCTCTTCAGATCAGCTTCTCCACCACTTCTACTCACATATGTCAACAAGACAGCATGTACTCATCTACTGTGTGAGCACTACAGGATCTTCCCCGGGTGATTCCAGAATTATTGGTATGTGACTGTCCTGCCAGGGGATATGCCCTGGATTCCCCAGCTTTAGATGCAAAGCAAAACCTCCAGCCACGCAGGCTCCTGTCCGCAGGTGGGGTACACTGGATAATTCAGCTGGGTGCTGAGAAGCTGGGCTGGCTTTCACCCTCGTGTTCGTCATCCCTCAGAGAATAAGCTCTCACCCCACACTGCTCTTCCTGCATCCCTTCTTGCTTCTGGAGGTGCCCAAGAAGGGATCTCCTACGGCTTGGTGGAGCCTGTTTCTCTGTATGCTGCCGTGGTGGTGATCCATGAGTCAAGGCTGCTCCTCCACTCAAGGGCTCGTAGTGAAGATAACCACTCCATAAACCAAATGAGCCATGGCTTAGATCAAATGGGGTAATAAAAGCTGGTGGGTTGCACCAGTTTCCCTATGAAATGCCTGTTTGTAATAGGCTCTAAACGCTTCAAAACCATTAAGTGGGCAAGATCCTCACAGAGGGGATTTTTTTTTCGGGGAAAGAGGGAACTGTTTCAGCCTCTCCAGTGCTATAAATGGGAGATGCATTAGTCTCCTTTAGGACACACTTTCTTACAGAGGGGCTTGCCACACAGCAGGACCCCATCCGTCACAGACACCCAGCACCAGTGCCACCAGTAACACATTGAAGGAGGTGATCCTGCCCCTCTACTCTGCTCTCGTGAGACCTGACTTGGAGTATTGTGTGCAGTTCTGGTGTCCTCAACATTAAAAGGATATGGAACTGTTGGAACAAGTCCAGAGGAGGGCCACGAGGATGATCAGGGGACTGGAGCACCTCCCATATGAAGATAGGCTGAGAAAGTTGGGGCTGTTCCACCTGGAGAAGAGAAGGCTGCGTGGAGACCTCATAGCAGCCTTCCAGTATCTAAAAGGGACCTATAAGGATGCTGGGGATGGACTCTTCGTCAGGGACTGTAGTGATAGGACAAGGGGTAATAGGTCCAAAGATAAACACAGGAAGTTTAGATTGGATATAAGGAAGAAGTTCTTTACTGTAAGGGTGGTGAGGCACTGGAATGGGTTGCCCAGGGAAGTTGTGAATGCTCCATCCCTGGCAGTGTTCAAGGCCAGGTTGGACAGAGCCTTGGGTGATGTGGTTTAGTGTGAGGTGTCCGTGCCCATGGCAGGGGGGGTTGGAACTTGATGATCTTACGGTCCTTTCCAACCTTAACTATTCTATGATTCTATGATAAGATGAAGAGCATTGTGCTTTTACCCCAGCTTGCACATGATGATGTGGACCAGCGCGCAGTCTGGAGCTTGCTGCAAAGCAAAGAAGTGGTTTTGGGGACATGGCAGAAGGGTGAGGAGGGAGCGGCTGGCTCCCTGCGTGCTCCGCAGCTCAGCTCAGCCCTGCAGGAGCAGGGCAGCAGGAGCTGCAGGCGATAGACAGCATGCTCTGCCCGGCTCCACCACTGCGTGTTTTGGCAGCAGGCAGACAGCACGATGACTCCACTGGCTTGCAGGGAAGGAGATGAGG